ATGATCTCATGATTCATGAGATCAAACCCTGTGTCCATCTCGAGCTGATAGCATGGAGCCTGCTTGGGATTCTCTCTCTCCCTCTCTCCCTCTCTCCCTCTGCACTTGCCCTACTTTCTCTCTCTCTTTCTCTCTCTCAAAATAAATAAATAAAATTTTTTAAAAAGGAGAAAAAAGTAAGTAGAGGGGGGCGCCTGAGTGGCTCAGTCGGTTAAGCGTCCGACTTCGGCTCAGGTCATGATCTCACGGTTTGTGGGTCCGGGCCCCACGTCAGGCTCTGTGCTGACACCTAGCTCAGAGCCTGTTTCAGATTCTGTGTCTCCCTCTCTCTCTGACCCTCCCCTTCTCATGCTGTCTCTCTCAGAAATAAATAAAACATTTAAAAAAAATAAGTAGAGGATTTGAATAGACATCTTTCCAAAGAAGACACACATATGGCCAACAGGCACATGAAAAGATGTTTAACATCACTAATCATCAGGGAACTGCAAATCAAAACAGCAATGAGATATCACCTCATACCTGTCAGATTGGCTATTATGAAAAAAAAATAACAAGTGTTGGTGAGGATGTGGAGAAAAGGGAACCATAGTGCACTGTTTGTGGGGATGTAAATGTATACAGAAATGGGAGCAGTTGGAAGTTTCTACTGGAAAATAAAATTAGAAATGAAAAAGAAGGCATTACAACTGATACCACACAATACAAAGGATCATAAGAGACCACTATGAACAATTATATATAAAATATATATAACCAACAAATTGGATAACCTAGAAGATATGGATAAATTCCTAGAAACATACAACCTATCAAGACTGAATCATGAAAAAATAGAAAATCTGAATAGACCTATAACTAGTTAGGACACTAAATCAAGAATAAAGAATCTCCCAATGGAGAAAAGCCCAGGACCAGATGGACCTGGTAAATTCTATCAGATGAATCCTTCACTGGTGAATTCTACCAAATATTTAAAGAAGAATTAATACCAATCCTTCTCAAACTCTCTCAAAAAACTGAAGATGAAGGAACACTCCCGAACTCATTTTATAAGGCCAGCCTTACCCTGATACTAAAACCAGACAAGAACACTGCAAGAAAATTACAGGCCAAGATCCCTAATTAACATACATGCAAAAATCCTCAACAAAATACTTACAAACCATATTTGGCAGCACATTAAGAGTCATACACCATGATCAAGTGGGATTTATCCCTGAGATGCAAGAATGGTTCATATACTCAAATCGACAAATGTGAAACACATTAACAGAATGAAGGATAAAAATTAGATGATCATCTCAACAGATGCAATAAAAAGCATTTGGCAAAATTCAACATTCTTTCATGATAAAAACTCTCAATACATTAGGTATAGAAGGAATCTACTCAACATAAATAAAGTCATATATGACAATATTTCAGCTAACATCATACTCAAGAGTGAAAGGTCAAAAGCATTTTCTGTAAGATTAGGAACAAAACTGGGGCACCTGGCTGGCTCAATTGGTAGAGCTTGTAACTCTTGATCTAGGGGTCTGAGTTCCAGCCCCATGTTGGGCATAGACTTTAGTTTTAGAAAATGTTTGGAATGTGTGACTGGCTCAGTTGGTAGAGCATGCGATTCTTGATCTCAGGGTTGTGAGTTCAAGCCCCACGTTGGGGGAGATTAGGAACAAAACAAGGGTGCTTACTATCAGCACTCCTATTTAACTCCGTACTGGAAGTCCTAGCCAGAGCAATTAGGCAAGAAAAAGAAATAAAAAGCGTCCAGATCTCAAAGGAAGAAGTAAAATTGTCGTTTGCTTGTAGATGTCATGTTCTTATATATAGAAAATCCCAACGACTCCACCAAAACAAAAACAAAAACAAAAAATTTTCAGTAAAGTTGCAGGATACAAAATCAACATACAAAATTTAGCCATATTTCTGTATACTAATAACAAGCTATCTAGAAGAGAAATTAAGAAACAATCCCTTTATAATATCATTAAAATCAATAAAATACTTAGGACTAATTTAACCAAGGAGGTGAAAGACCTATACACTGAAAAATATAAGACATTAATGAAAGATGGTAATATTGGTGTATTGTAATATTAATATTATTAAAGTGCCCATACTACCCAAAGTGAGCTAAAGATTCAATGCAATCTCTATCAAAATTCCAATGGCATTTTTTACAGAACTAGAAAAAAAGACAATCTAAAAATCATATAGAACCACAAAAGACACCCAACAATCAGAATCTCGAGGAAGAAAAACAAACCTGGAAGTATCATACTTCATGATTTCAAACTATATTAAAATGCTATAGTGATTAAAATGCTAGTGGTACTAGCATGAAAACAGATGCATAGACCAATGGAAGAGAATAAAGACCAAATAAGAGAAATAAACCCATGTGTATGTCGTCAACTTATCTTTGACGAGGGTGCCAAAAACACACAATGTTGGTAAAACTGGATAGCCACGTGTACAGGAATGAAACTGGACCCATATCTTAAACCAGACACAAAAATTAACCCAAAATGGGTAAAGACTTAAATGTAAGACCTGAAACTGTAAAACTCCTAGAAGAGGAAAAGTTCCTTGATATAGGTCTTTGGAAATTATTGGGGGGGGGGGGGGGGGGGGGGGGGGGGGGGGGGGGGGGAGAAGGGGTAGTGACACCAAATGCAAAATAACAAGTGGAACTACCTCAAACCAAAAAGCTTCTGCACAGAAAAGAAAGCCATCAGCAAAATGAAAATGTAACCTAGGGGATGGGAGAAAATATTTACAAACTAACTATCTGATAAGTGATAATACCTAAAATATATAAGCAACTCACAAACTCAATAGCAAAACAAACAAAATATGTTTTAAAAATGGACAAAGGAGGGTCGCCTGGGTGGCTCAGTCAGTTAAGTGTCCAACTTTGGCTCAGGTCATGATCTCATGGTTCATGAGTTTGAGCCCTGCCTTGGACTCTGTGCTGACAGCTCAGAGCCTGGAGCCTGCTTTGGATTCTGTGTCTCCCTCTTTCTCTGCCCCCCACCCCTTGTGCTCTGTCTCTCTCAAAAATAAATAAACATAAAAAATAAAATAAAATGAATAAAAATAAAAATGGACAAAGGACCTGAATAGAGAATTTTCCAAAGAATATACAAATGCCCAACAGGTATAGAAAAAGATGCTCAATGTCACCAATCATCAGGCAAATGCAAACCAAAACCACAAGGATATATCACCTCATACCTGTTAGAATGGCTATTATTAAAAAGACAAGAAATAACAAATGTTAGAGAGGATGTGGAGAAAAGGGACCACTTTTCTCATTGTTGGTGAGAATGTAAATTGGTATATTCATTATGAAAAACAATATGGATGTTTCTCAAATAATTAAAAATAGAACTACATATGATCTAGCAACCCCACTTCTGGGTATATATCCAAAGGAAATGAAACCACTGCCTCAAAGTTATATTTGTCCTCCCTTATTCATTGTTATCATTATTCACAATGGCTAAGACATGGAAACAACCTAAGTGTCTACTGATGGATGAATGGATAAAGTAGATGTGACATATAAATACAATGGAATATTATTCAGCCATTAAAAAAGAAGAAGGAAACTGCCTTTTGTGACAACATGGATGAACCTGAAAAGCCTTTTACTAAGTGAAATAAGCCAGACAAAGAAACACAAATATTATCTGGTATCACTTATATGTGGAATAAAGTTTTTAAAAAACCACACACATAGAAACAGAGTGGTGGTTGCCAGGGCTTAGGGGAGGGGAAGCATGGGAAGATGTTGGTCAAAGGGTACAAACTTTCAGTTATAAGATGAATAAGTTTTAAGGAGTGAGTGTACAGCATGGTGACTGTAGTTAATAATACTATATTGTATACTTGAAATTTGCTAAGAAAGTAGATCTTCAGCATTCTCACCACAAAAAAAGAAAAGTAACAATGTGAAGTGATGGAGGTATTATGGTAATTATTTCACAATGTATACCTCTATGAAATCATCATGTTGTACACTTTAAATACATACAATTTTATTTGTCAATTATACCTCAATAAAGCTGGGGTAAAAAACAAAGATAAATCTTCATGGCCTTGGATTTGGCATAAGGTTCTTAAATATGACACCAAAAGCACAGGCAACAGAAAAATAAATACATAAGTGAGACTTCTTCAAAATTTTAAGATTCTGTGTATCAAAGGACACTATCAAGAGAGTGAAAACCCACAGACTAGGAGGAAATATTTGCAAATCATATATCTGATAAGGGTCTATTATCCAGAATGTGTAACGAACTTTTAAAATTCAGGGGCGCCTGGCTGGCTCAGTCCAAAGAGCATGCAGCTCGTGATCTCAGGATCATTAGTCCAAGCCTCACGTTGGGTATAGAGATTACTTAAATAAATAATACCTAAAAGAAGTATATCTTTGAGGCACTTGGGTGACTCAGTCAGTTAAGTGTCCAACCCTCGATCTCAGCTCAGGTCTTGATCTCAGTGTCTTGATCTCAGGGTCGTGAGTTCAAGCCCCACATTGGGCTTCACACTAAGCATGAAGCCTACTTTAAAAAAAGAAAGAAAGAAATCTTACAATGCAAAACTCAAATGTGCATTTTAGGAAGGAACAGTCCTCAGCCTGCTGGAAGGATGGGGAGAATATGGAACCTAAAATGCAGTGAAGAGGCAATCATAGTGTTCCAGGAGAGAGATGGTGAAGACTGGACCAAAACAGTGGCCAAGGGTAGAAAAAGAGCCTGACAGATTCAACTGATATTGAGGAGATAAACTCGGGCGGCTTGGGATCCGATGGGCTGTGTGAAGTTTCCGCATACTAGTAAGGCTGGATGCCAGAACAGGATCTGCCTTTCAGGAAGGAAAAGGAGGGAGATCCCTATTTTTGCCTGGACAGAGTGGCTGGGGATGGAGGAAGTGAAAGTGTCTGCCTGCATAAATAGGCAGCAGACCAGTCCTAGCGGACACACGGACCCCCAACTTGCAGCTGTCCACCTCGCCCACTGCTCTGGCCTCACACTCACCTTCTACCACAGCGATGGCTCAGTCACTGGCTCTGAGCCTCCTTGTCCTGGTCCTGGCCTTCTGCATCCCCTGGACCCAAGGTATCAAGAAGGGAGTTGCCTAGGATGGGGACAAGGGGAGGCATGGGTGAGAGCCTACCAACAGCCCTGGCTCCCTGTAAACCCCACCCTGCAGGCAGTGATGGAGGGGCACAGGACTGTTGCCTCAAGTACAGCCTAAGGAAGATTCCTGCCCAGGTTGTCCGCAGCTACCGGAAGCAGGAGCCAAGCAGGGGCTGCCCCATCTCAGCTATCCTGTGAGTGGGTGCAAGAAGGTGGGTGCAGCTGAGTGGGGAGGGCATGGCGGGCAAAACTAGGACAGGCTTGCTAATGCCCAACCCCCAGGTTCTCACCTCGGAAGCGCTCTCAGCCAGAGCTATGTGCAGACCCTAAAGAGACCTGGGTGCAGCAGCTGATGCAACGTCTGGACAAGCCACCAGCCCCACGGAAACAAGTCCAGGGCTGTAAGAAGGACAAAGGAGCCTCCAAGTCTGGCAAGAAGGGAAAGGGCTCCAAAGGCTGTAAGAGGTGAGGAAGATAGAGGGACAGTGGGAGGGAAGTGAAGGGGAGCCTCAATCAACCCCTCAAACCCCTCTTCTGCCCTCCCAGGACTGAACAGCCACAGACCCCAAAAGGGTCATAGCCCAGTGACCAGCCCAGGAGGCCCCCACCAGCCTCACCGGGGCTTGGAGCCTCAATCCAAGGAGCAAGAAGTGGGCTAGGAGAGGGGGTAGACTCAGGAGCCCCAAAACAGCCACCTCATGCTGGCCTTGCCTCACGCCTCCTCCTGCTTCAACCATCCCATCTGTATACCCAGCCCCACCCTGCATGGCTACATTGCCCACATCAAGCCAGGTCCAGAAAGGCAGAGGAAGGAGAGTCTCCCAGAAAGTGTGAGAGGAGGCAGCAGGACTGTCCCCTCTGAGGAAAGGTCACCCAGGATACTGGACCTGACCCTACTCCCACTGCACCCTACCGCTTTCTTGTAAATACGATTTATACCTAACAATAAAAACCTGTTCCAGCCTCCCACCCAAGTATCTGTTCCTGTGTGTTTGTGTCCATGGGGAAACCAGTGTCACTACAGGTGGGGTCACACACTCTGGTCCAAGCCAAGAGCTCGACGTGGCAAATTCTATTTTCTCACCTACCCCAAGAGTTTCCTTGCCTCCCAGTTACGCTGGCAGCAAGTAGAAGGGATCTGGGCTGCTCCTGGTCTCTGAGAAATCCCTGTTAGTGAGAGATTGTGGATCCAGAGCACATAGCGCCAAAGGCTCTGCAGGCCTCTGAGACCCTACAGGGCCATTATGTTCAGCAAGCGCTCACTTCAGGAGTGACCTCCAGATCTTTTCCCAGCTCTACCTGCCACTTTCCCTGGGGCCCTCTGAATGCGAAGGTCCAAGGACTTCTTTGGGAGGGTCCCCAGGAGGGAGAATGGAACCTGGGCCTGCATGTAACACAGGCAAACACAAGTTCTACTAAAACCTACCCTATGCACAGTTCCAGCCCTGGGACCCCTTCAGAGCCCCCATCCCTTCCCAAACACCCACATAACTTCTGCCCTCATCAGTGAAGCTGGGTCTCTCTTTGTTTAATGGAGCTGTGCGATTCTCTATTCCTATCTGGGCTTCTTGACTCCCTAAGCTTCCTAGAATTCAAATGTAAAACAGTGTTCTCTCTAAGAAGACTCTGGCCTGGCTCCTCTCTACCTCTTCCTCCCCAGAGCAGAGATCTTCTCATTCCCTCTTTTATCTCTATACACAGGGAAAGGGAAAACCATCGGGGAGCCAGGCAATGTGGGATAGAAAGGGAATAAATCCTAGGTGAGCGGCGAGAAGCTAGAGGTGATTGCCCCACCACCTTTTCTTTCCGTGGGAGCCTGAGCACACAACATCATTTACTACTTATCATAAAGTCATTAAAGTAAGTGCTGTCTGCTCCTCCTGCAATGGGTGAAGATGAGAGCTCTTCCTACCTATCGTCGTGCAGCAGGTGTGATCTTAGTCTGCAAATTCAGATATGCAAAAATTACTGCATTTTTTAATGTTTTTTTTAAATTTACTTTTGAGAGAGCATGAGCAGGGGATGGGCAGAGAGAGAGGGAGAAAGAGGATCCAAAGGGGGATCTGCACAGTCAGCACAGAACCCAGTGAGGGGCTCGAACTCACAAAAGATGAGATCATGACTTGAGCTGAAGTCGGATGCTCAACCAACTGAGCCAGCCATGTGCCCCAAGAATTACTGCATTTTAAAATGTTCTTTCAATGAACTTAATCCTACTCCAAGCCCCTGCACTGGAGTGCTAGTGAGGAATTCAACATCAGGAAATCTGGAGATCCCACTTGCCAAGGGCTGTGCAAAGGTCATAGAAACATCAAGGCACAGAAGAGGCTTCCTACCTGCTCCCCACACCATCCCATCACTGGACATCAGTCTTACCAGTAAATGCTAAGGCCTCTGTGGTACTAGCAGTTGTGACTCTTCAGCTTCTGGCTTCTCAAACTCTTAGCTCTCTGCCACATTAGAGACATGGGAATTCAGCTATAAAAGCCTCTGGGCTTGAACCTGGCTTCTCCAGACATCCCTACAGAGCCATCCACTCAGGTGCTGCCACTTGCTTCATCACAGCCAGGGATTATAGCCCATTGCTGGACCTACACACCAATCCCCTCCCAATCAGAAAGACCTTTCTTCAAAATCCTTCCTCTCCCCAGTCCCTCCAGGGCATAACCTCTTTCCAGGTGTGTTTATACTGTTAGAAAAGCAGAAGGGTGTTTGACATCAGGATGCCTCTATTCTCAGCCCTGCCAAAGCTTGTGCTTGGCCTGGAGTGAAAGGAAACACATAAGCAAAACTTCATATTTCACTAAATTATCCTGCCGCATTGCATGCCTCATCTGTGCCTCAAACCCTGCCCTGAGCAGGTGTGCAACATATCCTTACCCCTTTGGAAAATGAGTGGCCACTCTCCTTGTCTACCTTCATCTTTGACAGTGTTATCTTGTTCTTTCTTTTTTTTTAAGATGCATAATTTTTTTAAAAATCAAATAATACTCATGGCCTTTTAAAATATCAAAAAGCTTCTTCTGAAAACCATTTCCTACAATTTATAAAAAGATTTTTATTCATTTTTGAGAGAGACAGACGGACAAAGAATGAGCAAGAGGAGGGGCAGAGAGTGTGTGGGGGGGGGGGGGGGGGGACAGAGGGAGAGAGAGAGAGAGAGAGAGAGAATCCCAATCAGGCTTGGTGCTGTCAGCACAGAGCCATGAACGACANACAATTTATAAAAAGATTTTTATTCATTTTTGAGAGAGACAGACGGACAAAGAATGAGCAAGAGGAGGGGCAGAGAGTGTGTGGGGGGGGGGGGGGAGGGACAGAGGTTCCAAAGCAGGATTTGTGCTGACAGCGCAGATGACAGCCCAATCCGAGGCTCAAACTCATGAACGACAAGATCATGACTTGAGCTGAAGTCAGATGCTCAACAACTGAGCCACCCAGGTGCCCCACCTCCTGCAAATTTTAACCCTACTTCTTCTAGGGGTTAGTGCCATACGTCTAAATACTTTGTTCATACTTCTGTTTTCGGTTTATCTATTTAAACATTGTCGATTGGCTTCCTATTATAAAAAATGGGGAATTAACTCTTACCAACCCTCCTCTTCTATCACCCTGTCCTCTAAATACAGTCATACTACTATACTTAGATCATGATCAGAGTTTACATTATTAACACCATGTAATTGTTCACTGCATAGCAAAGTAGTGTACTTGGCTTACTTTTCCTTTGCCACTCAGCCTTTTGGGTTTTTTTTTCCTAAGTTCTAATTTCTCTTCCATTTTTAAAACACCTCTGTCTTGTCATTATCATAAACTCCATATTTGTCAGTGTTTCATCATATGAGATAGATGAAAGACCCAATGTTTAAAATATATGTAATAGAAGAAACTATAGGTGTGTGTTTATAACCTTGAGATAGAAAGCTTCTTAAGATGTAAAACCAAGATAAAAAGATGTAAAATCTTAAAACACAAACCATGAAGGAAAAGATCAACACCATTAAATTCAAAGACTAGTAGGAGTTCAGGGTAAAGATGGCAAATTAAACACATGCATTTATTTGTACTTCTTCCTGAGCCTCAACTAAAACTACAGTTAATGTTTTTGTTGTGTGTATGTGTGTAAAGGACCAAAATGGGAGAGGAGATAAAGTTAACTTTCCAAAAGATTGTTGCTTAGACAAGGAAATATTTCCATAAAAACAAATACAAAGCATACGATAAAATTATAAATTTGAAGGACTTCCAATGCCTCGCTCATGCATATATAAAAATAAATATTTTACTGAATAGTAGTATACCTGTGTTCAACAGGGAGACAATGGCTTCTACTAGAAAGAAGAAGAGAAAAAGAAGTAAAAGAAAAGAAGTAAAAAATTCTAAAGACCGATCATCCCCCAAATTTACAAAATCATCATTCCCCCAATCATGAAAACTCACTGTAATCCCTGGAATCCAGATATTTCCTTTAACACTAAAGCACTAAAACATTTCATTGTTTTAAAACCAGATCTATTGCTTTAAAACTATCTGCTAACAATAAATTATCCTCAGGGCCATCCAGAAAATTACTAATACCATATTTTTAAATGATTTTGTCACTATCTCTCCCATGAAGTAACACATACACACTTATGAAATGGTGGGCCAGCTCCTTCTTCTCAGTGTTGCCTCGGAATCCAAAGCCTCCCACTTCCCCTGATCCTTCTCTGTGAATCCTTTAAGGGCCACTTGATACAAATGTAAGGGATGGTCAGGGCTAGCAAGACCTCCCAGAATTACAGCTACTAAAAACATCTTAACCTCAGTCATATGATTCTGAAACTAACTGCTAGCTAAGCAACCAGATTTCTTAACCACGTCTCTCACAATACTTGGGCCACACTCTGGCTGGCCACTATTTCATTCTTTCCTCATCAATCCAGCCTTTAGAGGGACGTGATCACCAATGACAGATTCTTTCTTTTGATGCATTCCTTTTTTTTTTTTAATTTTTTTTAATGTTTTATTTATTTCTAGGAGAGAGAGAGAGAGAGAGAGAGACAGCGTGAGCAGGGGAGGGTCAGAGAGAGAGGGAGACACAGAATCAGAAAACAGGCTCCAGGCTCTGAGCTGGCAGTCAGCACAGAGCCTGACGCGGGGCTCGAACCCACGAACCGCGAGATCATTACCTAAGCAAAAGTCGGATGCTTAACCAACTAAGCCACCCAGGCGCCCCTTGATGCATTCCTTTTAAAAATTAAAAACGGAACAATATAGGGCTACCAGCACAGCACCACTAACACACTTGGTGTCTGTGCCTTGCATTAGGGCACAGGAAGGTCAGAGGAACTGGGTCCATACTTGCTATTTATGAAGCTCAAAATTAATTTGTTTCCTAGCTTTAATCATTTACCTGTGAAAATTCCTTCAGCTTCATTGGCCTCTTTTGTGAAGTTCTTTTTCTTTCCCACACCCAGGTGCTATTTTTCCTTGTATTTTGGGTCAAAATGACACTGTGTTGTTTTGTTAAATTCATCAATGCTTCTATCCTTTGGCATCAGTCTTGACCAATGAGTTACCATTTTCATAAATGCCAAAGTTGCCATGCCTATTTTTCTAATACTTATATTTGTAATTCTTCTATTGGTGTCTACAGTTTCCCCTACAATGTGTTAGCTATGCCAAGAAACTGAAGACTGTTTTCTTCAGGACATCTCTTTCTCTGTGGTGGCAAACCAAAACACCCCAGGGAAACTCTGATACCATGTTCTTGAAGACTTTTGCTTTAGCGCTATGGATTGTGGTCGTAATAAATTTCAATCTAATATTAAGAGAACCAAATTCCACTATTGATCACCTGCGCAGCCAGAGCCAATTTAGGTTCAGGTGCCGCCACCAGCACCACCACCCTGTGAAACTCCACGTGGCTGTGATAGCGTCATTGCCTCATTCCACCACCAGGAGGCAGCATCGTCGCCGCGGTCCTTGGTCG